AGACCACCCCTATGCCTGCTACCACGCCGCCTTCCCCCTCCCTATGTTCGGCATTTGTTAGGGCAGCGCCCCCTCTTGGACCAGCGCATCTACCACGCAGCCCGTATAGGGGATAAGCCGTCCATCAACCAATGACCTCCCGCTTCCATAGTTCAGCCCTGAGGGGGAATCAGTCACGTGGGGACCCCACGACGAACCATCGCGATGACAGCGAGCCAAATTGGCGGGTAATTTTCACGTCAACATCCACCACGGATGATGATGATGATGAAATCGCGACTATTAACGACTCGGACGCGGGCTGTGAAGGCTTCATCGCATCAATTTTGACCCCCAGCGACGATCGCGAGGGCTGCTAATTGTAGCACGCATTTGATCGCGCGACCACTGCGTACTATAAATACCGCAATTACTGTATCTCCAGTACCCTTGCGATTGCCTTTGGTGCAAGGTGCGAGTGTGAATCAGAAATGCCAGACCGACGAAATTGTTTTTTTAGCAATCACATTTTTTCGTTAAGAGCCAGAGTCTCCATATCCACACCTGGAAAACAGACTTATGAGTGCGTCTTTGAAATTTTTTACTCTCCCTCGTATCTTTCTCAGCTGATTTTTGGTTTGGTTCGTATTAGATATACGAGTGGATGCCTCCAAGGGAGGTATTTTAGGGGTAATGCTGTGGTCAGTTAACAAGGAAAGTCATAAGTTAAGTTACAATTTAAGGCGTTCGGTAGTGAAATCTCGTAAATACGCGTATAGCTTCAAACCTACTTTGATTCTTTATGGGTATAAATAAGGGCATCTTTACCAATACATTTTTTGAACAACTATTATGTCAGTCGTTCATTAACAGTCATGTAGATTCGAAAGTATATGGCTAAGAAACGAAACGACCTTGATACCGAATAAATTGTTTCTTTCGTTTCATACAAAAGTTAAGGTTGATGCGATTTCCAACTTACCTTCATCATAAGAATGAGTGTGTTGAGAGCAATCATAACCATGATGTAGTATTCAAAGGGTGTGGACACCACTAACCGCCATACTCGATACTTCCACGATCGCTTGTCTTTGGGCATGTATCGACACAGGGGATGCGCGTTAATTGCGAAGTCTACGCAACGTTTCTGTAGAGGGAGGGAAGTTGCAAGTAAACAGTTCGTTCAAATATTTAAAATTAAAAAAATTGAAACAGAGGCAGAAGGAAACCTAACAGGTAGGCCAGTGTCCGTCTTCATTGGGTCCCTTTTTGAAAAACTCAACAACCTCAGTGAGGTTTGAACGCAAGACCGCAGAAGTAAAGATTGAGTACAATCAAGGCTCTAACCACCTGATCTACGCGGTCCCACTGAGAGCCGTGATTTTAATCTCTTAAGGAGCAACTTAACCTAGTTTTCATTGATTCAATCTCAACGGAGGTACCAATTTTTTCGCAAGTGGATTAGATGAGTCCAGCAAATCCGTAGACACAATTTGATGTAGCGTGCACTGGCAAGGCACCCTTGGCATGTGGAATTGGTAGCGGCTTTGTAGGATTGCAGAATACAAGTGTGATCGCAAAGTATATCCTTTCGATGGTGCTACGTAGGCATCTCTTGATAGTATTAAGAGTGTTGTCCCCCTTAAAGGGCAAAGATACAAAACTGGATTTTTCGGACTTGGCTGTTCCGATATCTCCTCTTAAGTGAAGTATCATTCAGACAGGCTATTTCTGCATCCAATGTCTCCAATGTTCCTTTTCATCTAGAAGGGCTTGTATAACAAGAGGTCGAATAGCTTTGTTTCGTATACTAGAGTTTACAGCCTGGAAAATGTGCTCGAATTCTAAATACTTATTTTCTCTTATTTTTTTGAGATTTTTATAGTAGCTTCGATGCAAAATTGCATAAAGGAAGACTAACTATTTATTTGTAAACTTAAATTTCAATGCGTTCGCTGGAATCACCTTCTAGCCATTTGTGCGGAAAAGATTGACCAAAATAACTGCTTATTTAGTGCGCATTGTCTTACTGATTTTTATTTACTTGTACTATTCCGATATCTCGGAAAGGGTAAGCAAGCATTCCTTAAAACTTTTCCATGCGCTTCGGGTACTAGTCTACCAACTGGATTTGCCGAAGTCATCAAACTCAGGATATTCTACTTTTAAAACAATAAATAGCGTTTGCGTGAGGAGGTTGCATTAAGGAAGGAGTCTTATGCCTTTCAAGTTCGCCTCAGAAATATCCTTTTAGAGAAAGGAAAGCATATATGTGCAGGCTAATAGTTGATTTAAGAGGCACATTAGCGAATAACTTAATGCAGTTTAATGAAGAAAAGTCATTTTATGAAATGTTAACATCCATCTTTATTACTGCTTGTTTCACATCGCGAACTCTTTCAGCGACTAGGTATTTTGACCAAAGAATATTTGTGTCGAGAACTTTTAAGTCACTTTGTATTGTTGATGAATAAACGTGAAAAAGAATTAATATGGTGTGTACGGCTCCTCTTTAAAGTCAGTGGAAAGCCGTCACGATTAGTTCAAACTAAGACATATCACATAGCATGTTCTAAGGTTCTTAATAGCGATAAATGGACACTCTGATAGATCACTGACTTCGACTCCTACGTCCGAATATCATGATGCGTTCACGAAGGAAGCGTGTTATTATACCGGCGGACGTTTTGGTGATGAGTAACGTTACACATAGCACTTTACTTCACTATAGAAAATCGCGCTGTACTAGCGGCATGCACGAAGAAATGAGGAACGTGATAATTAGTAGGTACTCCTCTGTCGCCAGTAAAACAGTTTTCGGGAGAAAGCTTTATCTCTACTATGCTCTAAGCTGTCTATTCAGAAAAGCAGTAGATTCCAAATCACAAACAGAGGGTAAAAGTACCAAAGACGATTTTCTGACTGAAAGCTGATTAATAGCGGACTCTCTGTTTAAATTATGTGAGTTAAATTGGTTTAGAAAAGGGACACAATTTCATCTAATTGGAAACCTGCCACTGGTCAGTCGCATATGGGAAATGGTTTTGAAAATTGTGTCCCCACATTACAATCATTGCACAAGCAACTATAGTTCGAAAAACATTTTTTTGGAAAAAGATGGGTGAGATACGTAGAAATATTCTGGAAAACATATTTAAGTTTAAGTGCTCCAAATTTTTGTGTGCAAAACGCTAAAGACGCTGGCGTGCTGTACGCAAGTGACCCGGCAAGCTAATCGTTCAAAATCCCGCCACTGCATTGCAGGCCTTCCGGATCTCGAACAAACCCAGTAGTGGTTATAGTGCTTCATATAAAAAAATAATGCAAGAAATCAAAATAATACAAAATTCGGCCCAACAGACTTCACATGCAAATATAATTGCTTGCGAATAGAAATAGATGTGCTCTGGGCAGCATCAAATAAGAGTTTCTGATGTTATAACTAACGCTGAGGTTAGTCAGAATGAGAACATAGGTTGGGGTGGAGCCGACAAAGACAAGGGAGAACTTAATATTCAGTCCTGACTTATTAGACGTCATCAGCCAGCCATACCAACCCTCAGCTTTTGCAACCTCTCGAACTCAAATTAACGTTCTGTTTGTATGAAGCTCAATCTCGAACCCCTATGCGCAAGCCCTGTCGGTAATATTTCAAAACAATAACACCCTCCAGGGTAAGTGTTTTCAATAGAGCGGAGTACCGTGCGTAAGTGATCGGACCAGCTGGACTTCAGCTCGAACTATTTGGTGTACCCTGTTGGACGACGTCGACTATGGTACCAGCTACGAATTCTTTATGATCATGTACATTAAAGACGCCAGCAGTAAAGGCCGCTGCTGAAGTTAGCAGATACCACAGATTACAGTCGACTTTTCGTCCGATATGCATAGTTTCTGCTTTGAGTTTCTTTCTCCTTGCAGCAGGTTTCGCAAGCGATTTGCGCTCACTTCAAGCGCCCTCCGACTTCTCCGATTATCACCCTCAACGTACCGAACGCCAGAAATGCGCTTGATTAAGCCGTCAATGACGCTCACCTTGACTGCAGCGTTTTGCTTTCTGAGAAACTTGATTCCTTACTATTTCCAAATGGGTTCTCGTCATTTCTGTGCGTTGAGGGCTACCACCTCAACCTGAACAGAAATCAGGGTATGAATTTTGTCTCATTCCCTTTCCAGGCACAACTAAACTTTAGAGCATTAGGTGACCTTATAATTATGCTGCGGACATCTCGTGACCATTCATTTTACTTGACATTAGGTTTAACATTCTAGTGATAATCCATGCTCACAGCAGACGTTATTTCCTGTGATGAATGCTCACCGATTGCAAACAGAACTCAGTCGTTCCATCCTGCTTTGGGACTCACTCTCTCTCTAAACCGGCAAAACAAAGAGGCGGTGGTTCAATGGTTAGAGCGTTAGTCTTCTGATCGAAAGATTGCTGGTTAGAGACTCGGATGATACACAACTTGGGGTTCGTTATGATTGAATGATGATGGCTACTGAGCCGGATATGGCCATTCCAGTCTCCATTATCTTTGCCGGTAATGCTAGTTGTCTCTTTTCAATATCTTCTACCCAAGAATCCCAATAGGTCTATGCGAAGTTTTCGAAAGCTGATTCAAGGTAGATGTGGTCTTGCAGTTGTGAGAAAACTGTATATTTTACCCAGATGAAGGCCCAATTTCCTGCAGCTATACTTCGGTCCAATTGTCTGTTCAGATCCACGACGCACACAGCAGTTATAGCTAGGATACTCATGCATTTAACGGCTATTTGCCTTTGCAAACAATCAAGACGGGTTGTCCCCCTCTGCTTAAATAAACACCATCTAGCACTCTACAGACGAGACCATCTGTCCCACAATAGCTATGCTTCCAGTCTGACGGCGAAAAGCCGACATAATGAATGGCTGCACATTAAAAAAGAACTAAGCCGCGAAATTTTTAAAGAAATGCCCAAGGATATGACGTAGATAAACAATACGAAGAAATTATGAACGTTATGGGGGGTCAAAATTGACGAATTAGTCCAGTAGATATACTCTGACGCAGAAGCAGCTGAATATAACCCCGCAGCGGATGCTAAAGAAATTAAACAATTTCTACAAGAATGGCACATGTTTACGAAAAAAGCATACGGAGTTTAAGCGTTTACCATGGCGCAGGTAGGTATACGCACAGATGGCTTTAGACAGGAAACAAATTCTGCATAACAAGAAAGATTCGTTTTTTAGCTTAAATTTGGTCGAATTAGCGATTGGTTTGCTCGTCGGTCCGCGTGAATTAATTTCCCTGCGCAGAATGGATTTTATAATTCGTTCGTTACCAATATTACCCTAGGTAATTATCTGGTCTATAAACATTAAACTGTAGAGAATATATCATCAGATAAGACATCGCAAAATTAATTACCTAATAAATGTGCCATAGGCCTTCAAGAAGACAGCCCGTGGGTACAGCAAATTTGTTGTTTGTGAATACAAAAGCTCACCTGGTTCTTGTCAAGTTCGAGGTTAAATAGTTCGTTTTCGCCCTGCTTTTGAAAGGTGATAATGATCAAGGCGACGAAGATGTTGACGAAGAAGAAGGGAAAAACAATGAAGAAGGTCACGTAGAATATTGCCATCTCCTGACGATAATCTTCTATTGGTCCTTGATTGACGTGAGTAGCATCCATAGAATTCTTGAGCACACTAAAACACGTGGAAGGGCAGTACTGGACCTACAAAATGCTCATCACTGTAAAATCGCAGAGGGGTCTTCAATTTGGTGGAAAAACTGCACAGTCAAGAGTTGGAAAGGCAAAAGAGTCAAATGGAAATGACAAGTAAATATTAAAATTAGTCATCGCGAACTGTAGTTGTTTAAAAGTGTTACTTCTGCACAGTTTTCGAAACATTAACCTACCCTTTCGACAATTTTTGCATGGAGTGCTGGATGCAAAAAGTTAAGCATGTACCAATTAGGCTTTTTTCCATAATTTCACGCAGTTTTACAACAACCGGGATTTAGGAAAACTAACTTTACTCCATGAGTTTAACGTTTTTTTACAGTAAAACGAACATAAAGTATGTGTACCGCCCCGTAAAACGTTAATCAAAATTATGTAACCTGCTTTTGATGGGCGAAAATTACTCAGTTAAAGTTGTACTCGTAAGAAGATTATAGAGAAATCCTGCGATATTTCAGTTATGCCAGGCTGCCAGTTTCTGGTCAGGCTTACTTTCACCCGTCTGGATGAACTAATATTTGCAAATATTACCTATTTATGTATCGTGCGTTTTTTGTATTTATTTCCACTGCCCTTATGAATTAAATTGTGTTTTGTAGAATGCATGCATACAATTATTATTTATTTTACTCATTTGGTGACAACCTATGTTTTCTTCAAATTTCATACTCAAAGAAAGGTGATCTCTTTGGTTTACAAAGTTTCTAATAATGTGAGTTTGAAAAACATGAATTATATATTAAAAAGGCATCGTATCTATCCATTTTACTTATACTTTTTATAAAGTATACCTTTTGGTCCACTGTACTGCGAAATTTTACGAGTTCTCTAGTATTTCTTTTTAATCGTGTATATAAACATAAGATTTCCCTTACACGGAAAATATGCAGCCTGTAGTTTGGAAACGGCAGGCTGGTTATTAATAATTCAGGAATTTAGAAAGTTTTTAAAACCAAAAAATATTGCTACTTCAAGTATAACATTTGTAGATGTAATTTACTACCAAATGAGTACACGAAGGATATTTTAATATATGTTTTCTATAAAATATATTTGAATTTATGAGGGCACTGAAAAGCAGGGACAAAATTTATACTTTATACGGGATTGTTTTTTATAGAGTTTAGTTTGCAAATGCAGCTGAAGAGGCCTCGGCGAAAGCCGACATCCTCAATTGACGGAAGATTTTAGGATTAGGCCGTACGATAATTATTATTGAAAGTTCTGTTGACTAAATTGTGCAAAACTCGCGGCCTCGATGGGAGTCTAACTTACACGGCAGGGAGGGCTTTTGCGCGGCCAACGCTCTACCATTGAACTACGAGGCTCGCCCTAACAATTATTGAAAGAATTTTTAAGCAATGGTTTCTAATTGAAACTCATTTGAGAATTTCGGCTAGCACCTAATGAGGTGGCACATTTACTGTAAGTTGTCTAGTACCAAAAGGAGGGACAGCTATAGTATTTATAGCGCACAAGATAGCTTATAGTAATCGACAAAAATGGTTGAGGGTAGACCCTATCTTGAAATTATTTGTGATTGCGCGAGAACGTTAGCTAGGTACGCTGCTATTGCTGGCAAAACAGCAGGTGTGGCGGACAAAGAGGACGAAGATAAAAATGGCGATTAATATTTTATTCGCTGTTATTGACACTTATAGGTCATAAACTGCGTGCCTTCATTTTTTGGCTGACAAGATATTTCTAGTCAACATCTAATAAAAAAACGCGAGTGCGTCTCAAAGAAACCCGACAGAATGTAATCATATCTATGACCAGCCAGATCGACTTAATACAATGCTCGATAACCAACCGAGTTTGATTCAAACCTCAACGATCCCAGGAACTATGGTCTGGGTTGAGTTAAATACTGACGGCACATAGGCCGTGAATGATCATTTAGGGCTATTTTGTCCTTATCAATAAAGGTTCTTGATGACTGGTTGTTTATCGCCGTTCGATCACCATAGGAGGTTTATAATCTATTACATTCCATTCTGCAGTCGTGATATATCGACAAACACCAGTTTCATGAGATTCACAACAATGCCATGTATAAACTTATAAATAAAGATAATGTTCACGGTCGCACAGCATTCCATAACGCCTAAATCACTGGGGCCTGCTCAGCCTTCAGGAGCTGCCGCTGCATCTTTCTTACTGTGGAAATCGAAAACGCATTAGAAACGTGGCAAAGTTTCAGTGACTTTCTGGGCGTACTAATAGGGGTTCACTTATAACAACTTTGGAAGATACATTTTCGGGATGCTGATTAAACTCCTATTAGAATCTGATTATGCCAGTGTAAGCCATTGACCTTTAAATATTCCCTGAACTTCGCCATTATCCACTCGAATGGAGCAGATCCTGAAATAAAGTTGCGAAAGCCTCCCGCAACCTCAGCGCCCGACATGGCCAACGGTCACTTAACTGCATGCAGTCTTCCGCGTTCTCTATTTCTTCCCCCACCCCACAGGCCAGCTCCACCAGATCATGAACTTCAAAAAAAGCGAGAATTAAAGACACCCTTGTGCAAAAATATGAACCCATTATTTGTATACATGTTTGGTCACTACCTGCTAGAAATCTTCCCTCAAATCCTACTTCCTGGATGAAAACAGGTGAGCTCATTACTAACACAGTAAATCGGTTTGCATCTCTGACATATGTCGATCAAGCTGCAATCCAAACTGCCATAAAACAATAGTGGAAGTATAATCACTGGACGAACTTTAGCAATTGTTAACCCAAAAAATATACTCCAAGTGAGGGCACTGGCTTTCTAATCGCTACCGCGCCAAACTCATAAATGACAACCCCGCCACGAATCACCACTCCTTCATTTATTAGGCCAAGCAATAGGCAGTGGAAGTTACAGTTTTTTGTTGGACAGTGACCGAATGACCTTATGTGCTTGGGTAATTAAAGGTAGTAGGGAATAAGTATCTGCACAAGGGCTGGCTAGGCGTTAATACAGCTGTATGTAATGTTCCCGGTAGTCAACTTTTCCTGAAGCAAACAGAGGTAAGTAATAATTTCTACTTGGTCTGGGCATTTTCGGATAAGCGAAAAACGCAGAAATAGGAGAACATCCAAATCTCCGCAATATATCGCGATGAACTACTAAGAGTCCACGTTGAAGTTGACAAAGATGGCTATTTGGATAAGTAGTTCGCGGTGTCGAACAAGTGCATGCCAGTTAACAATGAACGCCCATGGATCGTCCACTGCATATTAGAGAAAGCATACTTCCGTATCTGGACCAAGGTGTAGAAGCTAAAGTGTAGAACACTGCAACCAAGGAAATCACCACCCTACAGACCTCAACAGTCATAAAAACGAGGGTACCGCACCAGTACGTCCAGTCTGCGGCTGTTAAAATTTAACCACAGAGTACCGTGGATCGCATGATTAATACAGATGCTGCAAAATCTGAGCCGTTCACTTAATTGCTTAATAAATGAACACAGTCCCGACAGAAAGTTATACCATCTGTCAGCAGTCCGCCGAAATTATGCTAGCCCAGGCAACTTGTTTCAGCTCAACCCCACTAATCACCTGACTTCATGTCTGCAGCTACAGCCATCTAGAGTATGTCTAAAGCGATATTCCCAAAGGATGCCGCTTGATAAGGAGAAATTTCAAGCCCCTTTCGTGAAATACACGGAAGCCAGCCGGGGAGAATAGATGAGTAGCCAATACAAGAAAACACGCGAGACAACACTTTTATTGGCCTGACGTTTCCACCTCCGTCGTGGATTCTTCATCAGATAGTTCAGCAGAAAGCAGTGGCAGAAGTGGTTGATACATGTGCTGGAGGTTGCAGTATTTCTAGGATACAGTCATTACCACACATTTACGACAAAGAAAATTAACGATACTTGTCCTCTTGTGCGTGGATTGCTTGCTGACCGGCATGCGGGCCGTGATCTGCCGAACTTGCATCACGCGTGGTGGAATTGGACGTTAAAATTGCTTGGTCATCTGTTTCCCGGTGTTGGCGTAAGACGACGCGGTGGCCTGTGCATTCTCCAAGTAGTCACTTACTTTTGCCAAATTGAGTCTCAGCACCGAATATAGATTCGGCAAGCCGTTGCACTTGTTTATGGACTGGGGGCCCGTGAACCATGACTCAAAAACTTCTCGACTCACACGACTATCATCTCTTGCGAGAATTTTAGCCTCATCAAATTGGAATGTGTGGTCGGGTCTTGTCGAATAAGCCGCAGCTCGAGAATTGACATCATTTCGCCGCCCTACTGCCGCTTGTTCGGCAATTCGCGTCATGAGAAGTCTGTCAGTTTCTCCGACGTAGTTGGTTTGTCCGCAACTGTATCAGATCATATAGACGACTCCCGATGTTTCTTGTCGTGGCAGTGCGCCTTTTCGTTTCCTTATCTGACGCCTTATGGTTGCCCAATCCATATTTGGTGCTGAGGCTCAATTTCGCCAAAGTAAGTGGCCACCTGGGGAACGCACAGGCCACCGCGTCGTCTTACGCCAAAACCGGGGAAACAGATGGCTAGAAAATCATCACGTCCAATTCCATCACGCATGATGTAAGTTCACCAGGTCACGGCCCGCATGCCGGTCATCGAGCAATCCACGCACAAGTGGGTAATTATCGTTAATTGTCGTGATTTGTCAGACATGTGCAGTAATGACTGTGTCCTATAAATAATGCAAATTCCTCTGCATATATCGTCCGTTTCTGCTACTATGTTTCGCTCTTGTCTCTGGTGGAGAATCCACAACAGATGTCTAAACGTCAGGCGTATAAAAGTGTTGTTCTAGCGATCGAATCTTCTTTTTTTTCTCAATTACTTCCTGGGACTCGCATGTTCGCCTTTATTGGCAGAAAGGTGAAGTCCCGTTTATGAAATACACGGAAGCCAGCCGGGGAGAATGGACAAATAGACTGCGACAGTAGGTAGAACATCCATCCGTTCATAGGGGGTAGGATAAAGTACAAAGACGGGGCACAACCTCCGCTTCGAAGTCGCAAAATTGCTCTGGTGTCTGAACGTCCTTTCCTTTCGTACGTGTACTAGACTGTACATCAACTGCTGTGTGCCCTTTCCACTGTCGGCGGCGTTTAGGCAAAGAAAACTGCGTCCACACTGTGAAATTAGCTATAAAAGTACGCCAAACGACACTGTGAGTATACAGCATGGTTGATATTAGTTGCCTCGGCAAAATACAGACAGTACATGGGGCGGTAAACCATAAAGTAAACTGTATCAGTTACTTTCTTTATCATCCAGTCGCCACAAAGGTGATTCAAGATGCAATTGAACGAGGACGGTCGAAAGTGCGGCACATTCCTCGACTCTTAGCCATAACCTTCGTAGAATTGATCGGTAATTTTTAGCTAAATTCTAGGGATGTACCAATTACCGTATGCTAACCTTAACTTCCTGATATTCAGCGCAAGGCCATCTGTAACAAAAGGGCATCGACTTCCGTATACTGCCCTATGCTTTGTCAAGGTGAGCTCGCCCCCTGGGCGTACAAAATTACTCAGGCACAAGAGGATAGGTGATACAGTGAAACAGAATAGAAGACTCACTTGGGCCACCCTTCGCCAGTAGTCACTGTGAACAGAGTCAGCATTGCGTAGTAGACGTTGTCATAGTTGAATCCGTGAGAATTCCATTGCCGCCAAACGGTTGTCGGTACACCCTGCTCGTTATATTCAAAGAACTGTCCCCTGAAATATGTTTATATAGGGGTGGAAGTTTTGATTCCTTTTTATACTGATGCATAAACATGCTTTGCATCAGAAATCATGCAAACATACTTGAAAGTCTAAATGCAAACTGCAGTTCCAAATAAGGAAGCTAAGCAGAAATTCTGAGGCTTTGGCTGTAAAAAAAAGAGACATCTTCACAAATTTCAGCATGCTCATTGTGGTTTGTAGGCTGGTATATGTGATGACCTCTGTCGCTCCACTAACACAGTACCTGCCTAGGAGACGAGTGACTTATCTTGTGAACGAACAAGTTTTCCAAGAAAGCAACTTGTGCAAATCCGATACTAATCCGAATCGCCGCCGTCAGTTTCATCGTCGTCAAAGTTGCAAAATGCGGTGGTCTTGAGACGGTCTTTAAATGCTGAAAACGATACTTATTCAGCCTGTAAAAGGAGCGTCTTATGATATAACTAAGAAAATCTTTTTGCCCGCTTAAATTTATTGGGCCCTTACGATCATACAGTATTAAGGAAATTATTAACAGCCCGTTTTAGTGTGATGTTAACGTTTCTAATACTTTCAAGGCGTTCAACTGCATTAAGCCTAGCACAGGTGCAATAAAGTAGTCTATAGAATTTTCGCAGGGGGTGAGAACTAAACAGAGCATGAACAGTGTGGATTTCCGTGACCTAACTGATCACTTTTTTGTCCAAAAGTCCGGATTATGTGATAGATAGCAAGTCCATAGCCTACCACCTAGTTGAAATTCCACTCGGATTTTCCCGTAGCAATTTATCATTAGAGATGACAAGCAGGTGTCAGCTAAAGTAAAAAGCTTGAAGTTGGCTTGTCTGCCAGTATCCAGAGCAATACAGCGAGAGATAACGTTGCAGTGAAAGGCCTAGGCAAAACAGATGCGCAGTGTGTCTCCCAGGGGTAGGTAAGGTGTTTTTTTACAACATTAGGTAAACGGGAAGGGACGTTCTCAGGAAACATAGACCCTCTGCATTGAGTTGACGTCAACAGTTTTGACAGAAACCACAACTGTCAAGCGTCCGGACAAATGACAGTACCAGTAAAACAGTAGCCATCTCCTACACTCCTCAAACCTTACAGAAATCCGCCTAAGAATAAGTATTGTGTTATGGGGAAGACAGGGATGTTCTCAAAACTAACCCCTTAATGAGTTTTAATTTGAAGCAACAGGCCTTCACGTGGAAATGGTTGAAGTCAGGACCAAAATAACCCATACATATCATATTGACATTGCCACTACTATCGCTCATGGCGAAGAAATTAGTTGTTTCTAATACGTAGGCTTGATACATTTTCTGAAATTGATTCATTGGGCTTATTTATAGAAAGTAGACAGTACTGAAAATTAATACCTATGAAGACGTAGTGATCCTGTAGCACCTTGCACCTTCGGTGACACGCCACGCATGATGTCACGTGATTGTACATCTCAGTCCGCCTCTGGAACAGCCAAGCGCAGGTGCTGCAAACTGCGCAAACGCTCAACCCTTCATGGTGGCCAGCAAGTGCACACATACTAACACTTGCCTCTCCCAATCCGGTCTGGCCAATAAACTCCCTGAATCTGACACACACACACACACACTTCGGACACACGGTCCTGTCGTGAGTTGCGGCCCAATCATCCGATGGTCAAATCCCTCCAATCTATCCTCCGCTACAGAATACTCTTTTCCTTCCACCTGGCGTCCCGCTTCTTCTTCTTCTCCCCCTACAGAACTGGGTCTGAAAATCGTAGCGGCAAGGGTCTTCTCTATTAACTTAACCCATTGCGGTAAATGTCTCCCGATATCAGTATTCGGATTTATATTTGTGTCAGTTTGTGGTTGTTACCGACAACTTTAACTGAAAAAAACTTCGAAACACAATTGCTTTTGAGGGAACAGCGCAGTTTTGGCGGATCTTACTGAAACATTCCTTAATAACAAGGGAGGTAGCGCTTAAGAATATTGTCCGGTAACTAGGATTTTGTTTTGTTTTTAAGACTCGGCCAAGAACCCTCGCAGACCGATGCATGGCAACGGATTTTTTTTAAAACCAAAAATTCTCGCAGACCGATGCATGACAAAAAATTTTTAAATCAAAAATCCTTGCGGAGTCTGTCACCGCTAACTGCAACTGATACGTTTTTATTCATTGCATTCACCAATCAGCCAAAATGAAAAGCCTGAACCTCACAATTTGGACAGACAGGCAAAAAAATCCCCAGTTTGCATTCCATGTTTCTGATAGCAGCTAGCATCGCATACCCCGTGACTCGAGTGGGGAGGCATTCAAAATGATGTGCAACTAGACTTCTATTAAAATGTCCCATCTTTTGATCTGCATTTCGAGCATAGGCATCTACCAACATGATAGCTGCAAAAAACCATTCTACTCTTATTCGCCTTTCTCCCATCAAGTATCTCCCGTAAAGCATCATGTTGTGAATACGGCAAAAACGTCACACAAGTCCTCTCATGGTCTAATATTGGTGATATGAATTTGGTTTGATTAAATTCTGCGTTCCATTGAAGGCATTATCGCATTTTCGTTAAAGTGACTTCCAATCTTCTTTAACGTGGTAGGAACCCAATCCGGACTGAAGTAAGAAAGTCCCAATTCAGAAACAACATTGTAGTGTAGATACTCTCAGGGACAGTACTTTAGAGGACGTTTTGTTTAATATCATGTACACGAGATTTGTGCTTAGCCGGTATAAACGCCGTCTGCAGCGTAGCCAACTAATCTCGTTACATCTGAAACTCGTGTTCTAGCCGGATGATTTCACATATTTTCTAGGTTTTCGGTAGCAAAGACCTTTCAGTATGTAAGAAAAATATAAAATCCACAATTATTTGAGATTCTGTAGTATTCATCACGGCATATTCACCGTATTTGCTCTTAATACCAAAAGTCTTGTCCCAAAGAATTTACTGCAAGTAAGAGCATTAACCTCTGGGGAGAGTACTCACCTGAAAGTATTAGGGACTAGAACTCAGAAGCAGTATGCTGCATTCTTATAATGATTTGGACACTGGATAATAAGGGATAATCCTGTTCACTTACTGACATTCCTCTTTGCTCGGCTTGGAAGCGTCGTTACAGTAGAAAAATTTACCCTGAAGCAGTTGGACCGCAATGACCGCAAAAATAAATTGAAAAAGGCAGAAAACTATGAGGATGTTGAAGACATTCCGTAGAGAACTGACAACGCAGTCGAAGACAGCCTGTGGACAAAGGATATGCAGAATAAGTTTACCAGTGCATTCTCTGAAGGCAAGGGACATCGAAGCAGAGCATCTTGCGTAATTTAATCGCAAAAGACGAATTAGTATCTGTCCTGCGAATTATTTTATGGAGAATAATGACTTACTAAAATAGTAGTGTTAGAGAAGGTTGTCAGAAAGAAGTTATTAGATAATTTTCTAAGTTACCCTGTCACTCCAAAAAACTAAATTTTCGTTCACCTACTATCGCCACCTATTCAGTGGTTCTACGGTCATTCCGTGGAATGAAGCTGCAAGTTACTTTTTACTTATTTGTATCCTCCATCTTAGAAGTAACGTTATACATGTGAGAAGAAAATCGGAGTTGTTCATTTCAATACTCCTACTGCATCCGAAAAGCAATTCCTTGAATTTTGCCGACTCTTATTAATCGGAGGACATCTACGATCAAAAAAGGGAACTAATGCGATCGAAGCCCATATTTTTGTTCGCGAATAAGAGAGCTCATATATGCTAAAGTTTTATCGATCAGATATTTCGGTCTGATTTTTGTATTAGGCCACGTACTGCTTAGTTAGAAGGCCGACATCCTCATAACTCTGTTCTGAAATAAGATAATCTGCAAAGAACCTGTCTGGACGTTTAAACAGTGCGTACAGTGATGGAAATATGCTGAAACTACTGTTGTATATGTAAAATTGTTATGCCAGGGTCTCGCAGATAGGAAAGTTTTCTCATCATTTTTGCTGAGATAAGCAATAATGTAACCAATTGTTTATATAAGTAACGAAACTGTAATTAAATAGTTGAAATTATAAGAATTTTACTGATTGTCCACGGTCCTGCCTGAGAGACTTAAAGGGAAACGCTCATTTATGGCTTATTAGCCATAATTCCATTAGCCGTGATGCCATTCTGACTATATCAGTAGGTGCTGTGCGGCTGCTAGCGGGGCTCTAGAGTGAACCGGAAGGCACAACGGGACGAGTGAATACCATAACCGATCGGTGAGCGCTTCTCTGCCATTCTGTGTATTCCCGATCGAAAACCGGCAAGGCAACTAGCCCGTGGTGCAGTGGTTAGAGCGTTGGACTCCCAACTAACAAGGTCGCGGGTTCAAACCTCGAGGTCGCCATTCCTGGGTTAGGTGTGGCTGGCTGATGGCGGCTCATAAGCTAGAAATGTCCATTTCTGTTTCTCTTGTCTTTGTT